TTTCAATGTTTATTTTTAAAAAAAATCCATTGAAAAGTCCAATTCCTAATTTGCCAAAACTCAAAAAAAAAATAAAGTTTTTTCAAAAAATTAAAAATTTATTTTGCTTGAAACCATAATGGTTAGGATGGTAGTACATAAATACAATTTATTGTGGAACTTTTAATTCACTACAATGACTTAGGATAAATTATACAGTATATTAAAAATGTACTGTTGAATGTAAAAACTGAAAAATACATACATCATCTAATATAAAAAGTAATTTGAAATTTAGGACAGTAATTTGAAATTTGTGTATTTGCTACACAAATTTAAAAAAGTGCTGAATTAGTATATGTATATATAATAAAAAAGATTAGGAATAAAATCAAAAATTTCTGTAAGCTGAACAATTTTATTGCCAATTATATTATAAAAGCTTGTATGTTACTTGAAAGTTGCAAATTATACATGTATATATCTAGGCAAAGTGGCTTGGAATCCAGATAGCATTCTGATGTCATGGTAGCTTGGGTTCAGAAAGCAAATTCAAATTCTAAGTTAATATTTTCATGTAGATATTTATATATTAATTCAAATATAATCTTATTGCCAGTCTACAGATACTGTTCCCAGACTAGTAGATATTGCCCAGATTAAAAATTGCAAATGTACGCATTGTTCCATTGTTCTTTTTGATATTACTATTAAAATACAGCTATTTCTGGGCATTAAATTGTCCTAATAAATAAATCTAAACGAAAGTAAATGTATTAATATATTTTTTATAATAATATAACACTATCATGATTTAAATAAACATACAGTTTATCTTTTCCTCATCATAAAATGCCAATGTTGTCGTTTTCAATCAAACTACAGATTTATATCATCATATTCTTGATTCATTAGACTGATATTAATCCAAAAAAATCTGATATCATATCCCAGTATCTGAACTGCATTTTTGAATTTTGTTAAGTTAACAAACTACTTTTCAGAAACCAACCTGAGAAAACCTTCAATCTTTTAACGCCAGTGTACTTTCAAGCCAAAAAAAGTTGCAATAGGTTGAAGCTCCTGAATATGAGCTTCAACCTATTGCAACTATTGGTTTCAAATAAATGCACAAGGAATTCAAATGTTATGTGCATTTTCAAAACTTTGTTCTATTTTTCATTTTCATAAAAGCATCCTTAACTATTATGCATATGAATTTTTTTCAAATTGAAGTAATTCTTTTTTCCTTTTCTTTTCAAATTCCTCAAGTGCTTATATGAAACTGAAAGTTGCAGTTAGGGTGAAGCCCTAAAGATGAGTTTGACAGACTCAAAAGTACTTGATCATTATAGAAAAGGAAAGATTTTTCTCATGTTAGTTTCCAAAATGTAGTTTTTACTTTAACTTATAAAGTTCATTTGAAGACTGATTAAAATTTGTGTTTGAATTCCTGCTATAACATATGATGTTCTGTATCCATTAAGGAGTAAAGACTACCAAGTATTACAATTTTATTCAAAGTGCATTTGTAAAAAATTTAAAAGTAGGGGGAATTCCTACTGCCTATTTTCATTTGTTTTGGTGGAATTGTGTTTGTTCTCTACTATGGTTCTGGTTTTTTATAACATAATTTCAGTGCAATTTTACAAGCCTCTTAACAGTTCAATACAGTAGGTTTACTATTTGATTTGTTTATTTTCATTTTTGTGTTTTTATATAGTAATATTCTATTATAAAATACATACATTTCCTAATAAAACAAACTTATTTATTCCATTACTGCTTACAAACAACTTTTACTGGCATCATAAAGTATTCATTATTAAGATAGAGTTTGTTGTTTAGTATCATGCTAAAATCACAGGATATGTTTTGCAGTGTTTTAATATCATTTGGAAAGACTAGAAAAAGTTAAAATTTTTGCCACAAGAAATAATGAAAAATTAACTCTACAGTTTTTTCAAAAATTTCCCTTAAAAATTAATTAAACTAAAGAATAATAATAATAAAGGCATGAGATAATATATTTAAAAAAAATGAAAAATAGCTAACATGTTGAAAATATAATTTGTCTCACCTGTCACATAAGTAGAAATATGCCATAATAATACCTAATTTTCCAAGAGAAGTGAATAATTCATACCAAGAACCATTATCTGCTCCTCTAATCCTTTCACCTATTAATAATTAATTATTAAATCATAAATAAGTAATATAATAAACAATTTAAGATATGGAAATCTGTTACCTTGATTGCAATTTTCTAATAAGCTATACTGTCTAATTCTTCTTGTTTTCCATTTTTTATGTATCATCATAGCAAGACCAAGTAAGAAGCTATAAAACTTTCAAGTTTAAGTTGATAATTTCCAACTAATAATTTTGGTTTATTTAAAATTAACATACATACCAAACACCAAGAATCGAAAATGTAACAATTTGAAGAACAGTGACAGGTTCAGCACTACTACAACATGTTCCGTCATTGTAATTCATATGATCATTACAATACATATTAAGTAAAATCTGAACAGCCTGAAATAAATTTCATAGAATTATTAAAATGAAAACTTTATTAATAGGATAACACATTATGTGCAAAAATTTCACAGAAAAACAAACCATATAAGGAAGATAATATAATGTATCTTTATACAATAATACAAGCATAGAATAGTCTTGAAATAAAGGTAGTCTTAAAACGACATAGTCAAATTAGCATTTTTCAGAATCCACGCAACATGTTATAAGTACTGAACTAAAATTCTTATGTTGAAATTCAAAATTCTTTGAATATTTTCACTCAAATTCATCATATTTACAGTTATGTTAATGATTATATAAAAAAAAAGTTACAAATTGTAAAAGCAAAATTCTTAATGTATCATGCCTTATTAAAATACTGTATTTCAAAATATTGGAAAAAGAGCAGATAAATAATAAAAAAAATCACTAATTCCTTTCAGAATACCAACTCTTATCATACTTAAGAAGCATGAGACTTTTATTAAAGTTTAAGTGATTGCCACATTATAATGATTATAATGTTTTCTGGAACAATTTACTTCCTTTTATCTTATCATAATCACCATCTACACAGATTTGAACATTTTATAGCATAACAACTGACTTGAACATGAAAACTTTAAAAATATTCTAAACATGGAAACTTTAAAATATTTAAAATTTAAGAAAAATTGTTTAAACAACAAAGGCATGTTAATTTGAAAAAAAAAAATTATTATTTTTGAATAGTTATTGTGATCTGATGAAAGAACTTATATGTTTTTTTCAGGTTAATTTTTTGTCGTCTCACTGAATATCAAAATCTATAATATCAAAATCTTTAGTACCATATACAGACACTTTCTAAATGTAACATTTTTGATCTCATTGTAATTTTGATCATCACACAACCATATATGATGATTAACTTAGATTTCATCTTACTTACATAGTTAAGTGCAACTTGTCCCATATGTAAACCATCTTCTTGATCTTGATTGTAACCTTGAGAAACAAGACGTGAAGAACTCCAAACGAAAACACTACTATATTTTCTGTTAAAAAAATATATTAAATAATTAATATATTTAATATTTGATTTTTAAAATTATAAATTATAAATAATTTATAATTTTAAAAATCAAATATTTACTTACAGAATATCCATGGCAGCTTTGTTATAGAAATCTATTTGTTCGTTAGTTATCATGCTTCGAAAAGGATGAAGTTTTTCTGGAACTACAGGATCTTGAAGAACCCATAATATTTTTGTTGTTGATTTTAATTCATTCATTAATGGAACTAATTTTGTAAGATTTGATTTAAAGTCTTCTAATGCTTCCATGCTTGCATTACTTGTTCGTATACTCCAGGTGGCACTGCCCGTTACAACAACTGTTGGTCTTTTTCTAGGTTCCATTTCCACCCATTTACTATAAACTTCGTGCATAGAATGATTCATCATTGGATGCCATAAAAACTCCTATTTCAAAAAAATATAACATGGTAAAACTTCTTATCATGATTTACATTTTGTTAAAAACAAAAACAACTTACGGTATCAAGTTTTAAATCACTATCACTAAATTTCAAATCTTTATGAACTGGAGTATCTTTTGAATCAGTTTTAGAGTCTATACGATGAACAAATGCCCTGAATAACTGTCTAATTCTAGAATCTCCTATAAAAACAATATGGTTCTTTCCTCCCCAGTAATCAATATATCGCATACACATTCTAGAATCTCTGTAAGAAAAATAAAATTTTTATTCAAACATATACAATTATTGTATAGATCTTTATAGATAAATACAAAAAAAAATAACATTCAGAGCATCTTTAATGTTAATTAACAAAAAACAGTTAATTTGTAGTTTACATCAATTTAAAATCACAGACTTTTGTATCATGCTTTATTGCCTGCAGACGGCTATATTTAGTCAAAAATGTTGTCAGCAAAAAAAAAAATTGGCAAAGCAGCCAAGGAGGCTAATTCCCTAACTTTTCGACAAATTCCATAACTTTTCATGACTTTTTCCAGGTGAGTAGGAACCCTGAATATATATTAAAAATTTCATATAATACAAAAACATATCATTGGAAAATGTTAAATTCAACTACAAAGTTAACTGATACATTGCAGAGAAATTATAAAACTTCTGTGGTTGACTACATTATAATATAGCTGCATATAAGATAATATAAAGCAAAAATAATAGATATTGAAGAGCATGACATAAGCAACCACTGTATTAACAAAATTAAGGAATACAGTCGCCCCCTATAACACTGTTGATTATTCCATTTTATATGAATTTCATGTTATACGAGTCACTTAGATTTTACAAACACATGTGCCGGGCTGTGAATGGCTCATGTATTTGTAAAATCTAAGTGACTCGTACAACATAAAATTCATATAAAATGGAATAATCAACAGTGTTATAGGGGGGTCAACTGTAAATAAACAATAATCAATAAGCAATCATCATCACTATAACCTGATATATTATAAAACTAAAAGCCAACCAATAATCAATAGATATAAATATTCAGGATATCCAAAGAATATAGATAATATGTCAATTGCATCAGTTGGCTTTAAAAACTAGATACAAAAACCAAACTAAATCCTTAGAGATTTGGATAGGTAATTTTTTAGTGTTTATTACTAGAGCAGATTTATCTTATTATATTTCTCACTTTGTACTGTAAATTATTTCTGCAGCAAGTGCATTCACTTCCTTCCTTTTTTTATATCAATTTTGTGTTCTTTATTTTATTGTAAAAAAGCCCCACATGTACTTTCTATGTACCATTTCCAGACATTGTATTCTTAAGCTATACTGGAATTTTATATATTCCATTCTTTGATTCTAGTTTGAACCATTCTGTCAGTTTGATTATAATTAGTCTAAAGTTAAAGTCATTGGAAGATAGGGTTAAAAGATCTGAAAAAAGTTTTATCTAAATAAAGTGTTTTAATTATATGCATTGTATTTATTAGCACAAAGTTGCTGTTGAGAACAAATCACACAGGAAACACTTCTTTTTAATGGAAAAAGGGGGTTTTTTCAATAATTTGGAAGGATATAAATTTCAGGCTTAACACCCCTCTTCAGTCCTATTTTTTTTGTATGTGTATGTTAAATATATTTAATATATTCCGTAATTTCTTATATAGTCTCTATCAAGCATGATGGAAACTAAGTACAGTCCCATCCAAACACTTTTCAAGTTTACAAGAAAGAAATATTGGCTTTCCTGCAGCAGTTGTGATTTGCATGCATTAAGTGCATCAAGCACTAAATGCTTTGGATCTTTGCTCAGTAGTGTGTTAGTAAACTTTTTTATTGTGGAAAAATCCACAGTGAATCACTTCCACTTTCAAAAAGAATTACAAACTTTAAAGGCGATAGCATTGGGCCTTCAGATATTCACCAGAACTATTAAAGAATTTGTTGAGGAATATGGAATAGAAACTGTCCAAACCATCTAAGAAAGTTCATTTGCTGAAATTATCAAAGAGGCCTTTGTAACTGATCTACACTCCACCAGACTGTAAAGGAAGCATTTTGAGGGTCAGAACATTAAATTGAGAATTATTTGGATCTCTGCCATTTTTGACATAAGGAAAATAGAGTCCCAACAACTCAGGAAGAATGTATAAAATTCTGGTTATCAAAAATAAGGAGGTGTCAAAAGTTTGTTTACAGGAACATAGTGTGCACTTGCTAAATTGGTTGAATATTGGAAGAATCTGATAAAAGATTGCATTAGCTGAGGAGTACTTCACAAATAAATCAGCCTTATCAAACTAGAATGATGCCAAAATTATTTTGCTGCATCCCTGTCAAAATTGCAAAGATGTTGTTCATAGCCAAGATAGATGGACCTTTTATTAAACAAGAAAAAAATGTTACTGACTTGAAATCTTAGGTACGGCTAATTAAATCACCTGAGCAAAGATGGGGATTTCAGGGAGTAAAATTTTGACTACGCTGGAAATGTGATAATGCTCTTGTGATGAACAGATGATTTAGAAAGCATATATATATATATATGCCACCTGTTTTATTTTGATTTATTTTTTGGATAAAATAAATATTACATATGCTTAACTTTACACACAGACAGGTTGGTCAAACTATCTGGTATGATAAAAGAAACTTTGAAATGCAATTCTTACTTTTTGTTTTTTGATCCATGTGATGAAAGGACTAATGCCTTCATTCAAGTCTTGTTGCAAAGTTTGTTAAGTTATGTTTGATATGCTTAAGGTGTAATAAGTTGGTTAAATTTTTTTAGTATGATAAAGCTGTCATGTTTTAAGAAATAACTCTAAAATACAATTCTTATTCTTATGTTTTTTCCATGTAACAAACGATCTAATGCCTTCATTTGAATTTTTTGTCATGTTTGTTCATCAAATTCAAAGAACTTTTTTTAATTTTAAAGTGTTTTAAAGAAGGCTGTTTTTATCATGACATTTGATTGGTCTAAAGATGGAACATAACTATTACAGAAAAATTTAACCAAGTAAAAAACTTTCCTAGACTTCTGTGTTATGAGCAACTAATTTTATTTTTGAACTATTAAGTGGATTCATTTAACAAGGACTTGTGTTTCTATTTTCTAATCACTATTTTGTTAAGTAATGAAGTTAAAATTAAAACTTTAAGTTGTTTAAGGTGCAAGAGATACATGAAGTAATTGATATACTTTAAACTTCAAATAATATATTACTTATAAATTAAATATATATTTAAAAACATAAATCATTATAACATATATTCATTTCTACTTACACATTACTATACGTGTGCATCATGCATCCATATGGCTGCCATACACGATAACCTTGAAATCTACCATCGCTGAGTAGCCATTTACAAGAATCAATTCCTGAAATAATAAAATGGGTAATAAAATCATAAATCTATCAAAACAGAGTAAAAAGAAGAGAAAAAAATAAGAAGTTATGTGATAAAAGGTTAAACTTGCATAATGAATTATTTCAAAAAGAAAAAATATACAATAAATAGGAATCCGGTCATAAAATGATATAAAAATACTTTAAAAATATTTAATACTGAATATGTAAGTACAAAGCAATCATTGTCTTATTTTATGTGAGTAAGTAATGTATCCTAAATAATAATAATTTATTTATATTTAATAAAAAAGAATAATTTTGAATAAAAAGAATTCTGTTTTAAGAAGAAAGTCTTCAGATACCATACTTGTTTCTAATGTTGAAGAACCTTATCATCTGAAGTATTTGAATTAACTGACTGAATTTTATTACTTAAGTTTATAGAGAGATTCTAACAAATCATTTTTTATGGCTTGTTGAATAAATAAATCTTATTACGTATGTGAAAATTAAAACAATATGCTACAGATTTATGCAGTGTATAAAATAAAAATCAAATGATATAGCAGATTAATTAACAGAATAAAACTTTTTAATAATCAAATGATACAGCTGGATTTGATTATCATATACAGGGTGTATGAAAAGTTCCCTAAAATCAATTTTTCAAAATTATTTCCTGACATGTCAAAAAAGTGACAAAAGAGAATATTAGTGATTCAGATTTGTGATGATCTTGAAAGTGAACAAATCCAAATGAATGGAAATACTGTGTAGAATCAACTGGAAGGAGAGAAATGTGACCATGTCAAGTACAAAACAAAGAATTACACTTTTAGAAGGATTATTTCAACAAAATCTTATGATGTGTAATGATTTCAAAGAAAAATTTTCCAATGATGTAATAGTAAGTCTACTTTTTGCAAACTTATTTGAAACTTTCAAGAAACCTGGATCATTTTTTAATCATTGCATCATTTCTAAGCACTCGTGGCCACCTCAATCACCAGAATAAACTTTACCAGATTTCTTTTTACAGATGTATCTAAAGGATGGAGTTTATGTAAATGGTTTCTGCAATTTGAATGACTTGAAATGCAATATTTTAGCAAGCATAGCAGATATCATACATGAATACAACAATGTTACAATGCATAAATAGGAATATGTGTTGACAAGTGGATTCTTGTCTCCCAATGGAAGACAGACACATTTCTAGCATTTACTTTAAACTTTTTGAGTGCAGCTGATACACATGCTTTGCTCATTTAGATTTTGCTTAGGTCATGTTTTATTAATAAAAGAAATTTTGAAAGATTGAGTAAGGGAACTTTTGGTACACTCTGTATAATTATAAGATAAACTTTTATAGACTTTATCATTAACTCAAGAAATAAAAGATTGAAATGTTACCTACTGTATGTATGTTCTGTAAAAGTTATATTTTTTACTATTAGTATTCAAGTAACTTTCCACTGAATTTTTTGTGAAAATTTTTTCTCAAACTACATTTAAATTTTTATTGAAAATTTCATTTAATTTTATCTTATTCTTATTAATCATAAAACAAAGATATGAAATTTTTTCTAAGCATCTCTGATTTATGCAAATAAATCAAAGATTCTTAGAATAAAGAACTGTATTCATGAATAAACTTTAACTGCTCTATAATTGATACTAGTTCAAAACTATATCCCAACCTGCTTTGATAGTGGCATAAAAAGTTCAGCATATTGATTTTTCATAATTCATATCTAGAAAAAGTAGCAGTAAAAATTTCAAAAATAAATCTTTATTAACACATATTGCAAAGCATTAAAATAAAATGAATAATTATGTGTAATAATGTGAACTAAAACAGTAAAGGAATTATAAAGGTTTACATAATTATTCATTTTAAAGCAAGTTAAATAAAAGCATTTATAATGATTTTATTTAACTTGCTTTGTATTATGTCAAATCTTGCAACTCAAAATTTCATCCACTTCTAATTAAGATAGAAGACTAAAACTTTGAAGACATAACCAAGTCCAATGACAATGCATTTTAATTATTTTAGGGGATAGCTCCACTCTTAGCTACTATCCTTCCCACCCTGAAACCTGATAAATGCAACAAATGTATAATATAAGTATGATGTGTATGTGTAATTATACTGTAGTTATTTATATGATGGGGTGAGAACACCACACTATCAAAAAAACATGACCAATAAAAACATTTTCTTTAAATTTTTAATATATATTAAAATTATCAATATAATAAATAGTATTCTATATTGTATGCTTCAAAATGTTAACACTTATACAGAAAAGATGCACAGTCACTACAACAGAGATACAGTCGACCCCCCTATAACGCTGTTGATTAGGGTTTTATATGAATTCCATGTTGTACGAGTCACTTAGATTTTACAAATACGTGTGCCGGGCTGTGAACGGCTCACGTATTTGTAAAATCTAAGTGACTCGCACAACATGGAATTCATATAACATGGAATAATCAACAGTGTTATGGGGAGGCGACTGTAGTAGGGCCATAGGTTTTTGAGAAATCCAGTCAGGTCATGAGTCCTTGCCCGTGATAGAGAACTATGCAGAGGACAACCTGACACTATACATACAACAGAAGTTATTTTCATATTACTGTTAACATCTTTTCAAGCACCCTGTATTAATACTGTACATATACAAGATAGTTAGGCCAGAAACTTTTGGCACCTATGTTTTAATGTTATAGATATAAAACAATGATGTCATTTTTCAATATAATCTCCTTGTAGTTCAACACACTTATTACATCTTAAAATTTGCATTTCAATATTCATGAAAAAATAGTCCACAGTTTTGTATGTAAAATGCTCAAAAACCGCTTCCTGCAACTCCATCATTTTTTTGAGTTTCGAAAACAGATAAATAATCACTAGGAGCCAGGTCCAGACTGTAGGGTCAATCAAGTTCCTCAAACTCATACTCCTTTACAGCAGCCTTGTGCACTGGCACATTGTACTGCAAGAGGCTAATTAATGCAACAAGTCTAAAATTAATGTTTCCGAGTAACTTATTCAAATCAGCATGAAAACTGTTTTATTAGTCCACATAAAGATGGTGCTATCTGATACTATCATACTTTATTCCTATCATGTCTAAAATATAGTTAGGCTGGAAACTTTTAGCACCTACCATGTACTTTTTATTATAATTTACTTTATGCTATTATTTTAATTCACATTTAAAGTACTATTATAGTGAATCATTACATACATCTAGTCATTTTTTTTCAATAAATCTATATTTTTCATTTATAATATTGACATATAATGAAAATCAGGTAAGGGCAACTTTTTTCTATGTAAGGGCCAAATTTAAAACTTTTGAACTGACACAGGCTACACACAAGAGAAAAAAGAAAAAAACAATGCAAGTAAATCACAATTATTTCCTCATATGATTATAAATTATCATAGGTATACTTAATGTGATTTCTGGAACTGATGCAAACTTAATATATCTGAAATATTTGGCTGAATATTAATCGCTTTACTTTTTACCAAATTCACTGCAAGGAAAACCATTCACATACATAAATTGTAGAAAATAATGACAGAATTTTTGCCACATACTTCCTTAAGTTGGAAAATTAATTTTCCCCAAAAGTATATTTCAAATCAAAATTACTTTGCAAGTCTACTATCTCCAATTGAAGTTAAATTGGTACATTTTTCTGCATTACTAAAAAAAGCACTGTAGAAAATTCATATTTCATTAATAATATATAATTTACAAAGAAATCAAAAAATTAAATGCAACGATAGAAAACTTTAAAAACTTTACAGCACTACACAAAATGTTGCGTGAAGTCAGGTTAAACTGACGGACATGTATGAGGCAGGCTCTTGGTATTTAGTATGACTACAGATCGCTTTATATTGGTATTTTAAATTTTTATATCACTTTATATATTTTTTTGAGATATTTTGTGTGATGCAAGCTGCACAAAATACTAATGTGGGTCACATGATGAAAATGATCTCTCAACATCAACTGTTGTTAGAGCCTACAGTAGATATTTAAATGCAGCAACAATGTTTGGATCTATACAGTGAAACTTCTCTAACTCAAACACCTGTAACTTAAATATTTCTTTAACTTGAAGAAAACAAAGCACTTGGTAGATCTCAATGGAATAGCATAGGGATTTGATATCTCTGACTTGAATTTCTTAATTCAAATTATCTCCAAGTCAAAGTTTATCATGGTCCTCCAACACAGTTAACTTTCAACTTACCCAACACAAATTTTAATATTTATTCTAATTCAAAGTGATCCTAATTATTGGATTTCCATGAAATTTCAGACAGTTGTATCTACTCTCCAACACCAATTTTCAGACAACTTCCAGTCCAAAGCAAGAGGTCCTCTCACTTTATCTCGGCAAGATGTACCTGCAAAACTGTTTAATTCCATTAGTTACATTGAACATTTTACTGAAAGGCATTATACGGGCCGTTTAAAACAAAAAACCCCAAGATTCTTTATATAATGCCAAAAAGGTAAAAGTACAAACCTATTCAAAATCAGCAATTCTTATTCTATTGTTCTCTAACTCGTTTGTAACTCAAAGTTTTTCCCTGCCCCTTGGGTTTCGAGTTAGAAAAGTTTTACTGTATTACTTTACATCTCCACACAGTACTGCATTAATATTGTAGTGCAGCTTTATATCCAATATTTTTTCTAATAAACTTTAAAATTTTTCAAATAATAGCTTTACCTTTGTTTCAGAAATTTATGACACCATTCTTGTTGTCAGAAATTGGACTTATCAAAAACAACTGTTATGATAAGTCCAATTATTCAATAAGTGTCAGCCCATAAACTTCTAAACTTGTAATAATATTAATAAGAAAACCATAATATGAATTTATAATAGCCAGATCACTGTTACAAGCATTCTGACATTAAAGTTCTTGGATATTTTAGTTATATTAAATAACAATGATATTAATACATTAATTTTACAGCACAACACA